TTGTTTTACGTTGCCTGTAGAAGTGTTTTTCATTATTTCTAAAAAGTTTCTTCTTCTTCTTATTATTATTATTATGGACAAGTGGAAGCCAGGGATGTTAATCCAGGCATGATAAGGTATCCATGATGTCTTATCCCTTGTTAAATTGCCCCCTTTGTTACCTTGTCATGCCTGGATTAGCAATCCCTGGCTTCCACTTGTCCATCTACCAATTAACTACTGGGCAGTATAGAAGTGATGTATCATCATCATATTTATTTCCTCCTTGGATTGAGATCAGATGTAGTAAACTAGCATGAATGTTGATTTGGAGTGACTTGACTGTCAGTTGCTGGTCATACTTTGTATAGTGATGATGCCCTGGTATGCGGACATTGCAGACATGAGGAAAACAGCGGAGAGTTTGTAGAAAGTGGAGGAGCACCTCTGCATCAGTGCACACACTCTGTGGACGGCCCATGAGCAACTGTAGTAATGTCTCGTCGTCACAGTTGTGGAGATGTACATGTAGCTTCAGGGGTAGATAATCCAGCGTGTTGTTCCAGAATTGGTCGTAGATGGCATATAGTGCTGGGCATCCGCTAGAAACATGATGGAGCAGGTCCGTGTACAAGAGCTTGCACAGGGCACAGATCGTTTCACTGGACTGAGGCACTGCAATCCACATCTGAGCTAGAAAGTGGAAGGCCTTGACGTGCTGTCTGTTTCCGGCTAGGGTCCATGCATGGGAGGCATGGTGAAGGCTTCATGTGGAGAGACTTGAATCGTTGGAAGTCATCGTCGAAGGTTATACGCTGTTTCCACTCAGTTGTATACTTGTGGGTTACTCGTTCTGTGATGAGATTTTTCCACGATTGCTTGCTTGGTATTGGTAGACCTTTGAATGAAAGCAATGAGGTAGTGTCCGGAGATTGTAGAGTTGGAGAAGGGAGACAATTGCGGGACAGAATCCGTGTGTACAGTGTCTGAGTCGGCTTTCTGGAGTCTTTGGACAGGGAGTCTTTGACAGGAAGCCATCCGATCATGCTGAGGCACATGTCTGTTCGGGTACGTGTTGGGAAACTTTGAATGTGCTTTGCCATGTAGCGCCATGTCGTTTCTAACAAAAGTTCATCTTGTTGACATCTGCTTGTCCAAAGTTCACATCCATAAAGAAGGGTTGGTAGAACAATTTTGTTTACTGTTGACGCTGCAATCAGAGGATTGAGTCCATATGGTCTGATACCAATTCCAGGGAGAGGACTGTGAGGTCATCTGCTAATGTCGGGTTCCCAAGGTTCAAATTCCCAACACGTATGCCATGTCCTGAAGCCTGTAGTTGATTCAGCAGATCGTCGATGAATACCAGGTACATAAAGGTTGAGAGTATCCCTCCCTGTCTCACTCCTTGCTTGATGGAAAAGTGTTCTGACTGACAGCCGTTAACTGCAACAAGACAGAGTAAGGTCAGAGTAGCAGTTCACAAATAGCCTCCATGTCTGACCAGTGATTCCGAGGTTAGCTAATTTGACAAAGAGTCCACTATGCCATACAGTGTCAAATGCCTGCTTGTTATCAATAAAGGCTCCGTACACTTTACTCCCTAATTCTACATTATGGTGAATGGATTCTGATAAGTTAAATGGAGGCTGTTGTGTCATCCAAGTCCTGGTTGATAGCCTTGTTGTTGTGAATTCCGAAGTAAAGGTACCAGTGTTGTAAGCCATTTGGTAAGTTTGTTGTTCAAGAGTTTTCAAATTGTTTATAAAGAACTGGCAATAAAGTAATGGGCCTGTAGTTGTTTGCTAAATGTTTTGGCTTGTTGTTTCCTTTGTGAATTGGTATGATGACGCCTATCTTGCAGTTTTGAGGAACATACGCAGATTGTATCATGGCGTTGAATAGGCGTGTGAGATGAAAAAAATAAGCGGAGGTCCACCATATATAATGTTTTCATTTTGTATGCAGTCCTTTCCAGCAGCTTTGTTCCGTTTAAGTGTTTCTACCATACATCGAGTTTCGTCACAGGTTACGGGTGAGGAAAATTGCCGCCGGATGTGATCACGATTTGGTGGGCAGGATAACTCATTTAGTTTGCATTCTGTTCCTTGCAGGAAGTTCTGGTTAAAGTCTGGATTTGTCTGAGGAGTATGAACTGAATGATAGAAATTGGCAAAGGAGATGCACACATCCATTGGATCCCAGACATCGTGTTTATCAACAGTCAGATGTGCACACAATAATTACCGTTCCTTCCTTTCCTAGTTTTCAACATTTTCCAAAAAGCTTGGATTCACACTCTGCAAACTGTTCAAAGTCTTTGGGGTTTTGTTCAGTGAGATCTTGGATGGCAGTTCTTTGAGCCCGTCTGAAATCTCTTAAGACGTTTGTAGTTAGCATAAGATTCACGATTAATGCCACGAGGGCGTCCCTGGTTGATCCATAGCTTCCGGGCATGTCGTTGTAGAGAGTGGATATGTTTTAAGGTGTTTAGACCAGTATGGTTTTGTATGCGGGTTGTACTTAGATACGGGTAACGTGGATGAAGCCGCATGAGATATGGCGTGAGTAATGTTGTCATAGTAGGCATCAATGGCATATGTGGTGGAGATATCTGGTTCACCAAGTGCTTTAGCGCACAAGACAGAGCATCAGAGTAAGATTCAAGAGCGGTATTCATCACAACGTTTCCAAGCAATACTTGCAGTTCTCGCTTCTTTGAAGGATGGTATTTCATGTAGCATAATGTGAAGCAACGATTGGGAGGTGATCCGAAACAGTTTAAATCATCTTCTTCTTGAATATAGGCGTGATCGATATGAGATGTATTCTCACTGGAGATGAGGATGTAGTCAATCTGTGACATGGCAGGACTGAACTGATGCTTGCGTAACTGTTGACTTTGTGTCAGCTACAAACTCTGACAGGAGAGTTCCGTTAGGATGAGCTGATGAAGGGAGTTTAGTTCCGCATTAAAATCTCCCAAGAATACAACCACACGTCGCTGCTGTAGTAATCGTGAACATCCTGTAGTTCTCCGAGGACTGTTTGATATTCAGTAGTTCCATAACTCGCAGTTGGCATATACACTGAGAACATAAAAAGCGGGGGGCATGTCCTTAAGCACAAGCTGGATGCCAGTTATACGTTCGCTTTGTGTGATCAAAGAGAGGTACGTATGGAGACAGAGTTGTCTTGCACATGATGGCAACGCCTCGTTTCCCATATCGTAGGTTTGTTCCCGTCAGAGACTGCGTTTTAGCAAAGGATACGTAGTCAAGATGAATGGAGTTGATGAATTCTCATGAATGGAGTAAAATTTGTGTTCAGTTATAAAGGCGATGTCAGTTTGGTTTATTGTCAGGATTTCACCAAGCGAGAGTGCTGACGACATGATACCCCCTGACATTCCACGTTAAAATATTAGAGAGAACCGATTTGAGAGTTTGAGTGTTCTCCGAATTGAGTCATTATAGTTCATAATGCCTGATTCAATACAACAACACAATATTGCTAGGTAGAGGAAAACTGAGAGCATGATTAGAAGCTTGTGTTGACATCTTCGTGAGATTAACACGACTAATACCAATCGTTCTCGTCATCATATTTGGGTGCCTGATTGCTCTGCTTGTCCTGCCATTGTCCTGACACTCAGCCATCTCCTGCAGTAGATTCCGTGGGCCAATCAACCTGTTCCTCTATCACGGCTGATTGATGCTTGGGCACAGTTAACTTCGCTGATTGTGTTTGCCTTGTATAAGCTTCAAACCCGTAACTGTAATGTTGTTCAGCTTAAGGAAGTTCACAATAGCTGGTCTAGTCGAAATAGCCGAGATGCCTCCGATGTAGTATCTCTCTTCTGGCAGTATAGAAGTTATGTATGGTTCTGGAGTAACAGTATACTGAAACTGTCTATATGTGCGTAGCTTATTACCGTTAGGATTACCCTGGTCATTCAACAATTCCCGTTTAATCATCAGACAAAAGTAAGTCTTTTTTCTTGACAGATATCGCGATTCGGCAATGTACAAAGTTAAACATCGATGTATCGTGGCCCATTTGAAGTATCGTATCGGGATATACGGCAATGTAAAACTTTGTATCGATTCACTGTATCGGCGGCGAATGGATCGATGCATCGATGCGTATCGATGACTCGTCACACCACTAGTAAACAACAAACAATACATGCCGGAATGGAAACCCAAACACTGACTATATGTCGGAATTATTTACTGCTAAATAACAAAGCCGTTGACATTTAAATAAGCAAGTTAACAAGTGGTTTTGAATCACTTTAATCAAACTGTACAACTAGAAAACTGCAAGAGGATTCCCTTTTAACAACTGCAGTCCACTATCATGGCGTTTTGCCCCGCCCCTATCCTCGCGTAGCGTGACTCTTGACAGCGTTCAAATATCTAATGTCAAAGTAACGGTAAATGACTCAACCTTACTATTTCCCGTGCACCAAGCTGAGGATTACAGACTTTCAGCAACTTCTCTGTACACAGGCAGCGTGGCAACCTCTTGTCAGTATACTGGCGTGGGGCACGTGGCTCTCACCTCCGCTAATCTGTTTGTAATCAATCTGAGAGTGAGGTGCTTACTTCAGGCAGCGATTAGCTACTGCTAGTAAATAATTCGCTAATAATACACCGTCGGCTCTTATGACCACGCTGCGCAAGGATCGATCGTTGCTGGGTTGCGAGGGACGCGATCGCATCTACAGGGCTACCTCATCGCAGCTACCGTACAAATTGCCGGAGTCGACCACATCCCCGTTGTCAAATTCACCGGTAACGGAAGGAATTCAACGAAGAAATATAACCATTTAAATATTGCTTGTTGTATCGTAGTCAGATTTGCCCATTAAGTCATGATCTGGGGTAATAACAGAGATTTCATCTGTAACATTTATATGTATGTGTACGGTAATTGATATCGTGGTGAGACTGTAAGGTTTTTGACTTTTTGATCTGGGAGTGAGATTGGCATGTTGATTGGATGACGGGCTTGTGTTTGGGGGTTGTCCCTGAAACGACAAAGGGAGTTGAGACGTTGTACTTCTACGTAGCAAGAGACGGCGATGTCGTGACCACCGACTGTACACCTCTTCGCTAAACTGGTGAGTTTAGATGATTACGTTAATTTAAAAAGCTGGATCTTTGATAAAATTGCCATCCGTCAGGTTTGTGAAATGTCCATTGTTTATTGACATGTGTGTTGACATTTTGTGTTAAGTCGTGTTCCGAATATTCGCACACGTTTGATTCGAGTAACTGTAATGCTCATGAGTAGATACACTCCGTACTAGGATTCCCCATATGTGTACATATGTGTTAATGTTGCTGAAAGTGGAGAAAAGACATTCCCACTCACTCTGACTTATACTGATGTGTTCTGACGTAAACTACTTTATGAATGAGTTACGTCAGTCACGTTAGGACAGTTTTTCATCAAAATACAGTGGGCGTAGCGTCGGTCCGCGATGCTATAAGTACTGTCATGTGAGACTCGGACTATATCTTGTGTTGTTCTCCGTGTCTCGCATAATCTTGTTCAGACTACAGAGACAATAGATGGTTTTATTTACATAAACTTTCGGAGAAATCTAGATCCGAAAATAATGACGAATATATGACAAAATTGGTTCAGACAAAGTAATGGATTCAAGGTCAACTTTGTCAGGTCACGAGACGGGATGAGTGTACATTAAATGTTCTGTGTATATATGTACTGAACAGAGCTGTCACAAAGACAGATTGCAAGTAGTTCTTACACTGTGTGGTATAGCACTCGAGTTGAATACATATGTGATATCTTTCATGTGTGTAAGTAGTAAGTATACTGAACACATTCACACTGAACGTATGTGATTAACCATCAACAATATTAGTTTCTTGTTTAGCGCCAACCTTAGCAATATGTGAGCTGTATGACTGGGCCAAATACTCTGTTATTTATGTGAAGTCCCGAAGTTAACGTTCTGTACATTAAGCTGCCTCCTGCGACCAGCATAGAGTGGATGTGTGTTCCTACCTGTGATACCAACGGGCGTTTTAAAGTACTTTTAGGGTAGAAAACAGATTAACGGCATATATGTGTGTGGAAGAATGTTTTCAGTGTTGTGTTTACGTACTGTTCTCGAGGACCCGTGAAGATCCGGATTAGAATTAATCTTCAGTAACCAATGCTTGTCGTAAGAGGCTCGCTGACTTGTTTGACGCATGTCATCGTATCTCAATTGCGTAGATCGATGCTCATGCTGTTGATAACTGGATTGTCTGGTCCAGACACGACTATTTACAGACGGCTGACATATAGCTGGAATGTTGCTGAGTAGGGCGTAAAACTAAACTCACCCACTCACTGTTCTCTAGAATATTCTGTGTCGTATTTCATTTAATTGGATGACCCTTCATCTCATTTCCATGAAGAAGAATGGTGTGTGACTAAACTCATCCTATGTTATGCGTGTGATGAAACAAATGTTACAAATCAAACAGATGAATTAAGTATTTCTTAATCTAACCGAACGCGTTAAACAAATGTGTTATTAATATTACAGTTGAGGGGAGACAACTCTTACACACCTATGCAAGATGAGTTCTCTGCGCTCCTCGGTTCGACCCAAGAGCTCCAAACAGAAATGGGGCACTATCCTTAAGCCAGAATTTGGTCTTGGCTACCAGAAGCTGACAAAGTACGAGATAGCTCAGACTGTAAACCGCCTGAACACCGTGCCAAGTTCCGACGACAGAGCCTATGAACGCTTCAATAAAAAGATGTCTCAAGCAGAGGTTGAAGAAATGGTAAGTGTGGGTATGGGGCGTTATAAAGGAATATTGTTCAGACGGCAAATATTTTTCTTACTTATTCTTCTACTGTGTCCTGTTGAATTAATATTCTACTGCATTAACTTCCTTTGGACACCTCGAGTCCCCAGCATGAAAACAAGTTTCTGTTTGGATTAAGTCCCCCGTCGTGCCCAGCTCTGTGTGTACCTGGCTTTAACCAGCTGGATGCAGTGTGATTTTACAGACTCACATTTTCCTAAGATCTATACGTACGTTGTGAGAGAATCTACCTCCGACTGTAACTATACACAGAGACGTAGAATATCAACTTTCGTTTCTGACCATGCAAATTAAATGCGAATAGTATACCGATTGGGCAAAAAGTGACAGGAACGTTGGTAGTTTCACATAAACACTTGCTTTACGTACTACTTTGTCACATCCGCTGTAGAATACATTACATCTATGGATCATGGACTCATCAAACGTCGAATCTTTAAATCTGTAAAACTTTGTCTTATCTTCACCAGTGGTGGGTGGCTCACTCACTCACTCACTCACTCACTCACTCACTCACTGTTTGTCTCCGCAGATCAAGCGAGTGTCCAAGACGGACAAGACCCCCGACTCAGACCGCCGCCTACAGAAGTCCATCTACATAGGGATGGGGGTTGTGTCGTCCTATGCTTGGCAGGGGTACAACTAGCCAGCAGTACTCACCCGGGCTCACTGGGAGCAGCTTTAAGTTCAATGCTTATAGTGCAGTTTTGTCCACTTTTGACTGTTTCGTGATTCAATATATGGCTGTTGCAGTTCAACATTAGACTATATTTAGACAGCATTAGACAATAGACGGGTGAAATCCAGTCATGTTTGTATGCGTGCTCTCTACCTAGGCAGGTATGTGTTTTACAGGTGACAAGAATGCGTTAATGCAATGACACAACCTATGTAGGTGGGTGTCATACAGGTGAACAGAATGCATATACTCTACTAACATGTAGGTGTGTGTCAGATGTACCATCACTTTCTACTTCGGCAGGACAGATGAACATTCCTGTAATATGTCGGTATACTGTATAAGTGTAACGGTAAATCATCAAGTTCGAGCATTTCATATGTGATCATTTGAAATAAATATGCAAATTCCTTTATTAACTGTCACCATTGTAATGTACCTTCTATGCATGCCACGTTATTGCCATTACCATGCCGTATATTGTCAGTGATTCCCATAGTAACTTCCCACACACACAACGTAGCGTGTGACTGGTGCTCAATAGGTTTACACGACGGTCGTCTCCAGGTGCAAAATATATAGAGGTTTATTATGAAGTGAAAAACGCTTGATATTTCATGTTTGTAAATCGATTTCAAGAAATAAAGAAAGTTGAAAAGCACTCTGTGTGATGTGGTATGTCAGATGTTATTCTCTTGTATACCTGATGATAACGGGTATAGATTAGCCTCTACAGTATACAACACTACATGTGTGTGACCAACGGCGTGATGTGGTATATCAGATGTTATTCCATTGTTTACCTGATGATAACGGGTATAGATTAGCCTCTACAGTATACAACACTACATGTGTGTGACCAACAGTGTGATGTGGCATGTCACGTGTTATTCCCTAGTTTACCTGATGATAACGGGTATAGATCAGCCTCTACAGTATACAACACTACATGTGTGTGACCAACAGTGTGATGTGGTATGTCACGTGTTATTCCCTAGTTTACCTGATGATAACGGGTATAGATCAGCCTCTACAGTATACAACACTACATGTGTGTAACCAACAGTGTGATGTGGTATGTCACGTGTTATTCCCTAGTTTACCTGATGATAACGGGTATAGATCAGCCTCTACGGTATACAACACTACATGTGTGTGACCAACAGTGTGATGTGGAATGTATTCCCTAGTTTACCTGACGTGTCATTCCCTACAGTTTACCTGGATGATAACGGGTATAGATCAGCCTCTACAGTATACAACACTACATGTGTGTAACCAACAGTGTGATGTGGTATGTCACGTGTTATTCCCTAGTTTACCTGATGATAACGGGTATAGATCAGCCTCTACAGTATACAACACTACATGTGTGTGACCAACAGTGTGATGTGGTATGTCACGTGTTATTCCCTAGTTTACCTGATGATAACGGGTATAGATCAGCCTCTACAGTATACAACACTACATGTGTGTGACCAACAGTGTGATGTGATATGTCAGATGTTATTCCCTTGTCTGACCAACAGTGTGATGTGGTATGTCAGATGTTATTCCCTTGTCTGACCAACAGTGTGATGTGATATGTCAGATGTTATTCCCTTGTCTGACCAACAGTGTGATGTGATATGTCAGATGTTATTCCCTTGTGTGACCAACAGTGTGATGTGGTATGCCAGGTGTTATTCCCTTGTTTACCTGACATGCTATATAGCTGTGATGATGCTGGCTGAAGGCTGACATGCTATATAGCTGTGATGCTGCTGGCTGAAGGCTGACATGCTGTATAGCTGTGATGCTGCTGGCTGAAGGCTGACATGCTGTATAGCTGTGATACTGCTGGCTGAAGGCTGACATGCTATATAGCTGTGATGTTGCTGGCTGAAGGCTGACATGCTGTATAGCTGTGATGTTGCTGGATGAAGGCTGACATGCTGTATAGCTGTGATACTGCTACCTGAAGGCTGACATGCTATAAAGCTGTGATACTGCTGGCTGAAGGCTGACATGCTATATAGCTGTGATACTGCTACCTGAAGGCTGACATGATATATAGCTGTGATACTGCTGGCTGAAGGCTGACATGCTATATAGCTGTGATACTGCTGGCTGAAGGCTGACATGCTATATAGCTGTGATACTGCTACCTGAAGGCTGACATGCTATATAGCTGTGATACTGCTGGCTGAAGGCTGACATGCTATATAGCTGTGATACTGCTGGCTGAAGGCTGACATGCTATATAGCTGTGATACTGCTGGCTGAAGGCTGACATGCTGTATAGCTGTGATACTGCTGGCTGAAGGCTGACATGCTGTATAGCTGTGATGCTGCTGGCTGAAGGCTGACATGCTATATAGCTGTGATACTGCTACCTGAAGGCTGACATGATATATAGCTGTGATACTGCTGGCTGAAGGCTGACATGCTATATAGCTGTGATACTGCTGGCTGAAGGCTGACATGCTGTATATCTGTGATATTACTGTATAAAATAAGTACTAATAATTAGAAAGTTTTCTGTACTGTTGTTTACCATACAAATGTAATCTTCATTTTATGGAGGAAATAAAGAATATCTATCTATCCTGAAGGCTGACATGCTATACATCTGTGATACTGCTACCTGAAGGCTGACATGATATATAGCTGTGATACTGCTACCTGAAGGCTGACATGCTATTTTGCTGTGATACTGCTGGCTGAAGGCTGACATGCTGTATAGCTGTGATACTGCTGGCTGAAGGCTGACATGCTATATAGCTGTGATACTGCTGGCTGAAGGCTGACATGCTGTATAGCTGTGATACTGCTACCTGAAGGCTGACATGCTATACATCTGTGGTACTGCTACCTGAAGGCTGACATGATATATAGCTGTGATACTGCTGGCTGAAGGCTGACATGTTATATAGCTGTGATACTGCTGGCTGAAGGCTGACATGCTATATAGCTGTGATACTGCTGGCTGAAGGCTGACATGCTATATAGCTGTGATACTGCTGGCTGAAGGCTGACATGCTGTATAGCTGTGATACTGCTGGCTGAAGGCTGACATGCTGTATAGCTGTGATGCTGCTGGCTGAAGGCTGACATGCTATATAGCTGTGATACTGCTGGCTGAAGGCTGACATGCTGTATAGCTGTGATACTGCTACCTGAAGGCTGACATGCTATATAGCTGTGATACTGCTGGCTGAAGGCTGACATGCTATATAGCTGTGATACTGCTGGCTGAAGGCTGACATGATATATAGCTGTGATACTGCTGGCTGAAGGCTGACATGCTGTATAGCTGTGATACTGCTGGCTGAAGGCTGACATGCTATATAGCTGTGATACTGCTACCTGAAGGCTGACATGCTATATAGCTGTGATACTGCTGGCTGAAGGCTGACATGCTGTATAGCTGTGATACTGCTACCTGAAGGCTGACATGCTATATAGCTGTGATACTGCTGGCTGAAGGCTGACAGATGCTGCATAGCTGTGATGCTGCTACCTGAAGGCTGACATGCTATATAGCTGTGATACTGCTGGCTGAAGGCTGACATGCTATATAGCTGTGATACTGCTACCTGAAGGCTGACATGATATATAGCTGTGATACTGCTGGCTGAAGGCTGACATGCTATATAGCTGTGATACTGCTGGCTGAAGGCTGACATGCTATATAGCTGTGATGTTGCTGGCTGAAGGCTGACATGCTATATAGCTGTGATGTTGCTGGCTGAAGGCTGACATGCTATATAGCTGTGATACTGCTGGCTGAAGGCTGACATGCTATATAGCTGTGATGTTGCTGGCTGAAGGCTGACATGCTATATAGCTGTGATACTGCTGGCTGAAGGCTGACATGCTGTATAGCTGTGATACTGCTGGCTGAAGGCTGACATGCTGTATAGCTGTGATACTGCTACCTGAAGGCTGACATGCTATATAGCTGTGATACTGCTGGCTGAAGGCTGACATGCTGTATAGCTGTGATACTGCTGGCTGAAGGCTGACATGCTGTATAGCTGTGATACTGCTACCTGAAGGCTGACATGCTATATAGCTGTGATACTGCTGGCTGAAGGCTGACATGCTGTATAGCTGATGATACCTGCAGGCTGAAGGCCCACAATGATATATAGCTGTGATACTGCATGCTGTATAGCTGAAGGCTGACATGCTATATAGCTGTGATACTGCTGGCTGAAGGCTGACATGCTGTATAGCTGTGATACTGCTGGCTGAAGGCAGACTTGCTGCATAGCTGTGATACTGCAGGCTGAAGGCTGACATCCTATATAGCTGTGATACTGCTGGCTGAAGGCTGACATGCTGTATAGCTGTGATACTGCTGGCTGAAGGCTGACATGCTGTATAGCTGTGATACTGCTGGCTTAAGGCTGACGGGCTATATACCTGTGATACTGTTGGCTGAAAGCTGACGGGCTATAAAGTTGTGATGCTGTTGTATAACTGACACGTGATATCTCTCTGGTCTAGAATTATATGCCGCCATTATTCTTGAGTAGTACAAGTGGAGGCCCACGCGGGCATGTTTGTCTCTATATAAGGGAAACAATATTGAACTCGGCGTAAAACCATGCATCGCTTCACCCTATATAACATTCATATATACGTAGTATAGCAGCATCAGTTCGTCATTATATTCTGTTAACCTCTAACACTACCGCACAAGAGAAATATTTACAGATTTACACAATGTATGTTTTCACTCCCCAATCTCACGGTATTAACGTTAAAATGACTGTGTACAATATTCAAATAATGTTGTTTGATTGTTGAGACTCAACACTGCGCGAGTTTATTTTCACAATAAATAGTAAACCCCTTCCTTTGTGACTGACGGGGTGTTAGATACAGCTAAAAACTGCCCTCCATAATTCCTAAATGCAGACAAAAAGATCCCGAGCGAGATATGCGTGTTGCCAGTCCGTCAGTGGGTGCAAACTGCCCTCTAAACACACGCTCCATGTGCTAGCAATTGAAATTGTGTTTTTTAAACAATTTTGGAAATTCGAGCTCACAAGCCCGGCTTTCAATTTATGACGTGCTCCCCAGACGATGTTTTTGTGTGTTTTGTTGCGGTGCAGCCGAGATGATGAATATGGGAATTATTGGGAGGTCTAAGGCGGCAGGTACGGACGTGATTTCAGCAAGAACCAATTAACCAAATATCAGTTTATGGTTAATAGCTTCCTCCTCGGCCATAACACATATGCTCACGATCTTCTGGGGGAGGTAAATATTGGTGTATACTGTATATATGTAGAATACACGGTATGTGTGTGGAATAGACAGTGCATGTATGGAATCAGGAGAGATAACCATATATGGATGAACAAGTTTTTTGTAACAGTGAGAGCGACGTTGTAGGTTCCAACACCGTTATCACGCAATAGACAGTAGATGTGTACAATACACAGTAGATACAATACAAGGCACAGTAGATGGTTGGGTGTTATATTGATAGAGTGAGTGAGTATAGTTCTAGGCCGCTTTTATAACGTTTCAGCAATAACATTGGGGGGGGGGGGGGAACCCAGAAATGGCCTTCACACATTGTACCCATGTGGGGAATCGAACCCGGGTCTTCGGCGTGAAGAGAGAACGCTTTAACCACAAGGCTACCCCACCGCCCCGTCAGGCAGGGGCGTAGCTACCATGATAAAGAAAAGCCCGGGCTTACACGTGGTTGTTGCTAAAAAGGTTGGGCAAGCCCTCAATACTATCTGAATATAATGCTTTGCAACCTATCGGGCTTACATGAAATTGGCTTGCTACGCGCCTGCCCGTTAAATTGATAGAGTTATAAAGACAGGTGTATGTCACATTATGTGTCAGATATTATCTAGAATATTATCTAACATCAATCAATCAATCGTTTATTCCGCATGTGTGGCCTCCGGCCCATATACAGATGATACAGCAGGTTGGCATTTGCATCTTACAAACTTTAGTATCTCAGACGTAGTGCACAGTGAAAATAAAGTTGTAGCTTAATAATAACGTTTGTATCATTAGATGCCATTAGGTTGATGAAACTAGTTTTTATATTATAGGATGTACAGACAAACAGTAGGTGTTTACAGCTTAAGCTTTCATACGCTGGACATATCATAACAAAATGAAATTCATCTTCAATCATGGCTAACTTACACACTTTAATCTAACATGATATATCTAAAATGAAGAGAGCTGTAAAGGATAGACAACAGTTATATACAGTGAGTGAGTGAGTTTAGTTTTACGCCAAACTCAATATTCTAGCTATATAGACAACAGTTATATACAGTGAGTGAGTGAGTTTAGTTTTACGCCACACTCAATATTCCAGCTATATAGACAACAGTTATATACAGTGAGTGAGTGAGTTTAGTTTTACGCCACTCAATATTCCAGCTATATAGACAACAGTATATACAGTGAGTGAGTGAGTTTATATAGACAACATATTTATATACAGCTATATAGACAACAGTTATATACAGTGAGTGAGTGAGTTTAGTTTTACGCCACACTCAATATTCCACTATATAGACAACAATGAGTTTAGTTTTCCAGCTATATATAGACAACAGTGATATACAGTGAGTGAGTGAGTTTAGTTTTACGCCACACTCAATAACAGTGTATATACAGTGAGTGAGTGAGTTTAGTTTTACGCCAAACTCAATATTCCAGCTATATAGACAACAGTTATATACAGTGAGTGAGTGAGTTTAGTTTTACGCCAAACTCAATATTCCAGCTATATAGACAACAGTGATATACAGTGAGTGAGTGAGTTTAGTTTTACGCCAAACTCAATATTCCAGCTATATAGACAACAGTGATATACAGTAATGTCTATAATATCGCGGTCAAGGATAACACTGCTTTATGTAAAAATGATGAAATGACAGCTTGGTCTTCCGTGACAACGACCACCGGGTGTCCTCACAGTAACATAAACGTTGGTTTGTGGGGCTATATCCTAAATTTGTGACACCCACTAGGAACTTCTATTCTCACTTGACCCTAACTTAGATGGTATAATACGAGTTTCATTGTTCCTTTGAATTGGATGGTGTTTTCAGTGTCAGGATGTACAAAGCCTGTACAATTGAGCAGGGCAACTCTCTATCCGTCCTGTGTGATTACAGAAACTCTATACTAGCTATATTAAATGTATACCCTTCCTATCTTAGGGAAACAATATTCTGCAATCAGCATGTTTTGTTTAAGCTGGTCGGATTTCGGCCACGAAGAGACTTGAAATAATGATTTGCACAAAGTGCATTATGTTGCACATGGTGTAGGTTAAACCGGTTATTTGCTTCGTGTGCTGTGCTTAACGTGCATTTTACTACACGTGGTGTTATAGGGCTAACGGGTTATTTACTTATATCGTGTGCTAGGTTTGACTTTCTGTGCTCTACATGGCGTAGAGTTAACGGGTTATTTACTTAATATCGTGTGCTAGGGTTAACGTGCATTCTGTTCCACATAGTGTTGAGTTATCGGGTCATTTACTTCATATTGTGTGCTAGGCTTAACGTGCATTTTGCTGCACATGGTGTCATAGGGTTAACGTGTGTTCTAATTAATATGGTGCTCTAGCATGTATTGAATTGACAATGGATAGCATAACATTGCTTCAGGACTGTGCTGAATACTGAGGCCATGGCTAAATAGAAAGTCTATCCTTGTATCAAGCAACATGGAATTAATAATTATTCATATAACTAAAGAGCATTGCCTTAGAGCCTTGCATGTCTATGTATAGCCCAATGTCGTGTCTAAAGCCCAATTTTGTGTATAAAAGGAACTACCTATATCTGTCGTTATGTAATGCATGACAATTTGTAGAATGCCAAAATCGATATCACCCAATGTGGTTATTTCATTATTGCTGATGAGAACATCCATGACTAAATTACCCCAGAGAATTATTCACCGTCTAAGCCCGACACCTAAAGTTGGTTTCTTCATGTGATGGGTAATTGATGTGTCACCTGCCCAGAGACTACCTATGTTTTAGCACACTGGTGGGTTGAGTCACAAGAACCCTGTGATCAATGAAGCCAAGTGTTGCGAGGAACTTTCGAGCGATGATTCAAGCTGCCGACTGCAGCTGGCAGTTGTAGGTTTAACCAGGTTAAATTTAGACCCCATTATCAACTACATCAGTTCCGGAAGTCGTCTGCTGCGTCTTACTACAGTCACGTGATATCGACGCTGGAACTATTTTGGGTGAGAAAACGCCGAGGAGTCTTCACGTGAACTTCGAGGCAGCAACACGGCAATCGGCACCGGTGAGTCCTCGCTGATATTAATCAAAACTTTTAAAATTTAAAATTCAAAAGTTCCAAATGTCATTGCACTTACCGATACATGAGTACTTCCTTTAGCAGCTGCAACACTTCAGGAATGTAATTAACACCTAGTTCCGCGCGTCAGCCGCCAAAGCGTGCGGAACAAAGAGCGACGGGCTGAAAGGCCGGCAGAGGATGTACATATTGTTTACGTTGTAGTAAACGGCATCTCAGAATATCATCACATTCGCTCATGTTTCATTGGGATTGTCGGATCTGCATAGATTGTTCACAAACTTAACAGTCGTGATTGTGTAAACGAGAAAGCATACATATTGAAATAGTGATGTGTCGGAAATCCGATAGTGCTTGTAAAATTAGAAAGTTATCATGTGTACTTCAAGTGCAGACGCGTTTTGCCTTCATTAAATTCGAAGATGGAGAACATATATTCGTTAATTTCTAGATTTCTTAAATACTATTTAAAATCTGAAAAGATGTTGAGATTTCTTTTAATGCAGCTATTTACAATGTACTTTGAAGTCAGTATTCTAATGTTGAAATGAATTAATGTAACTGCACATAGCTTTAAAAAGCAGGATTTCTTTATTTAAGAACACTAACTGCATGTCAATGGTTTTAAAGCTGTGTTGTTTAACGGAACGGAGGCTGTCTGTGAGGTAAAAACTGTCAACTTTCGTCCAAGCCGGCGGAGTTTCCCGTGGAATGTGCACACAGACTGTTGGCGTATACCCAAAGCCAAGTGCATGCACAACAGTGAAAACCGCTCCAGTCCTTTGAAGGATTCGCACTACCACCATACTGGGAGCAGTGTGTAGAGTACAAACAAATCGACAACAAATTTCCTTAAAGCCCTAGCTCGCCCGACACGAATTTCTTTGCTGTTTGTTTATTTGGTCAATGTTGTCTTGTATCTTTTCTCGTCCAACTCCGATCGAAACAACATCCTTCGGCCCGGACACTCTCTTTGTCGTGATCAATACCTAACACACACACCCCCCTCTATCTCTCATCCCTCCCTTCTTCGTCATCTCTCATCATGACCCATCCTGCCTAACCCCCCTCTCCCCAGGAGGGAACAGTCACTACAGAGTCATTCTGAGACGACACACACGTATGGGTTAAGCCGAATTATAATAACTTACAAGTTCTTGTCAGTGTAGTTTCAGTGATCCATTAAATTAATTTTCATCGCTTTGTTGAAAAGTAAGCTTAGAATCTCAGACGTTGACAGTTTATACTTAATATCATTCAATTTCATTTTGACTTACAAAACATCTAGACATCTAAATATAATTGGTGGTATCATAAGATATAGTTCATATTTGATTATTTTTTTATATCTAACTTTTCATTATTTCTTAATACCTTTAAATTTCTTAAATGATATAAAATGTGCCAAAATGAAAGCTATAGTTACGAAGTTGAGCCTCCAATGACAAACATGCGTCATGTATTAACGCAGAGTAGATAGTGAAGAATAACAGACAGAAAAGGCTAACAGTAGCACCAGAATATCGCGGTAATGTCGTCCTTCAACACTCCTCACTAACAGGACCATACTATGTTACTTATTAAATTCTCAACATTTTTCATCAAATCATTTCTTTTAACGTCTTCATTGTTAATATTACTCATTGAGTGGTGAAATGTCACTCTTTTTCAAAAGTTCGCCCGAAATCGTGTAGGGTGCCTTCCTTCCTCAGACATATCCCGTGACTTCCGGTGACATAAATCTCTGACCTACATGAGCTCGAATGAGCAATATGACACATGATAGTGAACGTGATTAACCGGATGTCCCCTCAGTACAACGGAATCTCAGTGTGACAGGCACACCAGACAGTTTCACTTAGAAGTATCCCCTAGAACTACCCGTTTGTCTCCTCTAGAACTACCAGTTTGTCTCCTCTAGAACTACCCGTTTGTCTCCTCTAGAACTACCCGTTTGTCTCCTCTAGAACTACCCAAGTGTCTCCCCTAGAACTACCCAAGTGTCTCTCCTAGAACTACGCGTGTCTCTCCAAGAACTACCTCGAACCATCCACATGAATATCCCAGAAATATACTTTAGTTATATGATATGAAACAAATAAACATAGAGAATAAAGGAGCATAACACAATTGCCGATTTCCTAGAGCTGAGACATTCTAGACTTGCCAAAACATTCTAGACTTGAGTTAGACTCCTTCTTAAATCATTCTCTAGGATCTGAGAGAAAGACTATCCAAAATATTGCCACACATATCCCGATAAGTGAAAGTGTCTGGACATACATGAGACTTGGACGTCAAGTATCAAACAGCAAATTCTCTAAACTGTTTAACTTTCTTAAAAAAACTGAATCCCACATTCCAAGCACACCTCCTCCGACAGATGGCAGCAGGTTTGTGCTTCTCTACACATCAACGATACAACCACCTCTCAACCTTTTACAGCATATCAAATTTGTACCGGGCAGGTTTCTACATTGCCGTCATATGTAGCGTTAATGAGATGGTGTTTCCTGCTCGCTGCACTCTATTAACTGAAGCGCGTGGCAGCTATTGATCATAAGCCCTACATATATACACTCGAATCTTTGCCTCTTCCGTCTTAAGGCATGCACTTTGAATGTGGAGAGCAAATGGCTAGGTAAAACTCAATCCAATTAGTGAAGCCCGATGGTGCAACTATTGAGCGCAAGCTGAGATATACTATGGTTCTTCTTACTTCAGGGTATCTGTCAAAGATAAAGAAACGCACGTGTTTCTTGTTTGATTCTATCCTGTAACATCCTCCGGTGCACCTCAAAATCCTAAGACGCATTGGCGCCAATGTCCATGTACGTCACGCTGCGGGCGATGTGAGGCGACCACTGTCCAGATGATGCAATGCGCATGGTTGCAACCCTCAGTTACGTTCATCGAATAGGCAATGCTGGGGTTGATTAGCTTAGTGGTCACGTGGGATGTTAATTGCTTCAAACTGAGAAGCAGGATGGAGGTATTAAACATTTGCTGAGAAAATTTGTGTTACGTCCGTGGATTAATTTCGGAGGCTGAACTCGCTTCACAATGATGTCTGCGTGTTGATGACGCAGTGAGCACGTCGACGTCTTTGATCATGTGAAGCCTGATATACCAGCTCAGACTTCAGGATGATATACGACGGTAATGGGCCAAGGTAAAGTAAGACCAGTCAAGAGTAATGTAATACATATAGCTTACAGCTATATGATACGTGTAAGATAACTCACATGAACTCTGAAAACTATCCATTTCCGAGTTCAAGAATGCGTAAACATATTGTAATGATTTCAACAAACAAGCACCGTTGCCTGACCTTGATCGCACTGACCTGTAACACAAGGTTTTGGGTAATGAGTTTGTAACGACTCGGAGAGTTTGGAACTGATGTTTTTCAGTCGACTTGAAATCAATTTGTGATGTGAACACCAGCCTGGAGGGAAGGTAAGGTGTTAACACTGGAGGCTGGTGATTAGTTTTCCTGGCGTTATGTGACCTGGGATCCATTAATAAGGAGACACATGGGGAAGACCAGGGCACAGGGCTTCCTAGTGTCGGGACTCCCGTGGTTCGTTCTCTCTCTCTCTCTCTCTCTCTCTCTCTCTCTCTCTCTCTCTCTCTCTCTCTCTCTCTCTCTCTCTCTCTCTCTCTCTCTCTCACACACACACACACACACACACACGACCCGATTATTTACAGACCGCCGCCATATAGCTGGAATATTGCTGAGTGCGACGTAAAACTGAACTCACTCACTCACTCACTCACACACAGCGAAACACACGCCTAGACACACAGACAGACCAGGGCCTTCCAGTGCCGGTACTTCTGTGGTTCCTCACCAGCTCACACACACACAGACACTCACCCACTCACACAGACAGAGAGAGAGAGAGAGAGAGAGAGAGAGAGAGAGGCCTTTTCCAATGTGGGGACTTCCGTAATTTCTCACCAGCACACACACACACACACAGAGAGACACACACAGTGAGGTCTTTTCCAATGTGGGACTTCCGTATTTCTCACCAGCTCACACACACACACACACACACACAGTGACTCCCTCACAATATTTCACTCACTCACACATACACAGTGACTCCATCCCTCACAATATCTCACTCGCACACACACACACACACACACACACACACACACACATATTCATAATAAAATATCACAAACCGAAGTTTGGTATATAATGACATGTGTCTTTATCTGTTCCATAGCAATAGAGGTCAATGGTTCACGTGGTTCTATAAAGGTCATCGTTTCGTTTGCCTTCAAAACCTTATACTGACCGTATCATTTAAATTTAAGGATTGAAGTTATATTTGTTGATCTACATCAGCTGACAGTACCTCATGTGAGCAAATAAACTGATGCTGTAATGTTGACAGTTCTGTAATTCTTTGCTCGATTGACAACGTATGTTTGGACTCTTAAGAACATCCGTTGTTGTCTAGATTATCACAGGAGCAATCGTACAATATACCACTAACTTATTAAGACAATTTTATCTTAAACACAAGTCATCACCGGAGTATCTAAAATATCTGTGTGACGCAACCCGCCTCCTTATAGCGCGAGTAATATAAACACTGCCGTCCGTTAATCTATGACCGGACGGTAATCACGCGTCATACTGACGTTTTGCTGTTGCATAATGTGAGTAGAGTTGTTCAATGCAAGCATCTGCTTTTGTGAACGATTGATGTATGTATCTCTGATGTAACTGTAGCTATACCATTAGATGTGGTCGTACTGCGGGTGACTGTCGAAAGTCGCCGAGTATGTAGTCGTCGATGTCACCTTCATCACATCAGTTACTGACGATTTGCTTACATCAGAGACATGGTGCTCGTTCAGGAGGGATGTAGACAGCCCACAGGGAGCCGTGCTCTCATATTGACCTAATCTGGTGTTAGTGTATAGCGTTCTTTGTTTTCATTAAACAAGGCTGAGTAGAG